CGAAGGTACTTTGCAAACCCATTGGCTATCAACAAAGATTAGTTCATGAAGCCATCCATATTTACAGACACAGACACAATTTCAACCGAGAATATGGGTGCAAACTGAGCAATCATTGGAAGGACGTTATCAACCAATTTAAGTCATAATAGGCTATGATGTTCCCATCCTACCACCTTCCGATGTTAGTTGTGCTTTACGCCCATTTCAAACTTGCACTTTCACAGTCACTTTGTGCACCGACCCCTTGGTTGCAGCGCTGCGATCTTCCATTAACATGCTAATCTCTCTTTAACATGCTAATTTTAACCTGTCAGCCCTTTGATTGGTGGAAAACCAACCACCGTCGGGTTGGCTGCCCACCACTTACATTATCATTGTCTGCTGACACTTGGGCTACGCCCATTTCAAACCTTTATAAACAGTTTGCCTTTGGAAGCTAACCCCCCTTTTCCTGAAGACGACCGCTTGTGTTGCGATCGAAACGTCGTAGTTTTTTGTTATTTTTTTTTGTTATTTTTTTGTTATTTTCTTTGAACCTATCTACGGGACTTGACTGAAAGATCCAAGAATATAGTGATGTCATAGTGAAAAAGGTAAATGCACTCTCCGCTGCAAATCCATCAGACATGGACATGAACTTTTCCAACGAACTCATCCAATTCAAATTTTTCATTTCTGATTCTGAGGGTGACAAGTGCCGACCTAAATTGCTTGAGACATTGCAGGCACTTAAACTGCATTCAGTGTTCCCCAATGTTTTCGTGACACTTCTGCTTTTTTTACTTTGCCAGTGACAAACTGCCAGGGTGAGTGGACATTTTCCCTTTTAGGCAGAATAAAAAAAATAGCTGCGGAGTAGCATCTGCCAAACACGTCTCAGCTCATTGTCACTTATGTCAATAGAGTCAGACCTTGTTAGACAGCTAGATTTTGACGATCCAGTGGATGATTTTGCGAGGAGAAAGGCAAAAAAGACACCAATATAGGAAAGCGGGGGAGGGGGGGGCTCCAAAAGACATGTGCCCAGGGGTCTCACGGAACCATGATCCGGCCCTGCACACAGTACACACACAGTACACACAGAGAACACAGTACACACACAATACACAAACAGTATGTCAGTACGCAATGTCATCGCACGTCCGACCACAGCCGCATGTCCAGTGAATTCAATCCACCAAGAGCAAATTGTGGGTAGACATGGGTTCGTCGCATATACGCAAAATTGCATAACCTAGAGCCCGCATATAAGTAAGGATAGCCTGCTGAAATAATGCACTCCCACAATACTATGGGAACCATTGGCTTGTGTCATAACGACTTGTATGTTTGTTTATGTGCAGCGGCAGCTCCGCGAAGGAGACATCGCTTGCCCTTATTTCTTGCGCCTGAAGAACTCGGTATTTCCGCAGTGCTGAAACAGCACCTGCAACACTGGCTCGCATGACCAGGGTTAGCACATTCAACTCATCCATAGCCGCAGCAAATCCCACAGAGAGGCGATTTTATTAAAACAAATACATATCCTGCCGCTACCAGCCATCCGGAACGTAACATTAGCAACTCGAACACGTTCGCGCATGAGCCCTGCCTTCCGTCAATCAGAGGGTGCCGTGGTGGCTAGGAGATGTTAACTCCCTCGCCTGTTCTACAGGAGGACGTGGGTTAGATCCCGACCCTGACGCCTGCTGCTGTGTATTTGGAGTTTGCGGTGTCTCTCGAATAGTGGTCACGTGGATTTTTCTCCGCGTCCTCCCATTTTCACATGATTAGCCACTTCGTTGGCATATCATTTGTGGCTAGGTCGCGTCTGAAAACGAGCTATATAGCTCAGTGGGCATCACCTTGTAAAATAAAAATGGTTTCGATGTTTTTTAGTTTAGCCCGCCCTTTGCAACGATCCAACATGAATGACGCTTGACTATAACGTTGTGTTGAGTTGAGAGACTTGCTCTTCTCAGAGCTGGCCTCATTGATCAGAGTTGCATAAACACCAGAGTGAAAAAGGGACTTTTTTCACTCATAGGTATGCCATCGTGTTTTGCCTGACAGATACCCATCGGCTTCCATACATATTCTTGGTTCTTTCCCTTCTACGTGACTTTACCGAAAGAACCACGAATATGAATCCCTGTAGTCAAGAAAGCTTTAAATCGAAAGGCTTCCATGCACTTTCTAAGACAAACACGGGATGACAATTGTGACACAATCCGTGCGTATGGATGCTTTTTGAAAAACCTGACTAAAGCGAAACCTCTTTGTGACACTCACCCTCGGTGCACGTTCTCCATAATCTCACGTCCTATTATTTACAGTCCCCGATAAAAATAAAAACCCCGTTGCCGCTGTGGCGGCGTTTCGTGATGCGAAACATTTGCGGTGTGTGAATGACGCGCAGATTGACCGTCCACTTTGTGGGCGAGCTGTCGGTGGATGCATCGTCGGGCAACGTGGCACCGCACAGCGGAGATTCGTCTCTCTGCGGACGCAAAGCGCTTTTATTTTAAGTAAACGCTCCCCTTTGCCAGAGGGCACTCGCTGGGATACTCAAAGTAACATCAAAGACGCGGCTCAAAGGGAGCCCTTCCGGCAAATATTTTCTCGAACACACGAGCAGAACTTGCGGTTGACAACCCTCTGCAGGGGCAGGACAGACTTCTGCCAAGGGGCGGGGGGGGGGTGTACCCAAGGTGTTGGTAATGAAACCAAAAGCGGTGGTGGTGGCTCAACGTTTAGTTTGTGTGCCGGGGTGCAACAGCAGCAACAGCGGTAGGGTCGGAAAGGGGGGGGGGGGCGCGAGGATGATACCCGTAGGCCCGTGCGCCGAGATGTTTATCCACGGCTCTGAGGAGAGCCAATCAACTCGTTACACTCGAGAACCCAAAACCAGGATTCCAGTCACTATTCGAACCCCTGGGCCACCTGTCACTATTATTTTTTATATTCTATGAAACTAAACTTTGTTTTGTTTTACCAGGTAACTCCCACTGAGCTATGTAGCTCTTTTTCAGAAACGACCTGGATATCAGATCGTGTAGAAATTGATAGCCAAAAAACTCAACGCCAAAGAAACAGGCGTCAGGGTTGGGGTCGAACCCACGACCTCCTGCATACCAAGCGAGGTAGTTAACATCTCCTAGCCACCGTGATTGTGTTGAGACACGCAAACTCCAAATATACAACAGGCATTGTCAGGGTCAGGATTGAACCCACGACCTCCTGTATACCGGGCGAGGTAGTTAACATCTCGGCACCATGGTGAGATGTTACTCTTTGGCGATCGCACTCATTGTGTCCACTATAAACTTTTACTTGTATGACTATCGGCAGCATGTTAAAAGTTAGTTATTTTTACACATGGGGCAACCTTACCCGATTTTACGACGAACACGTGTGGTGTGTCAGATTCACCCCGTCGCCAAAACATTAAACCTAGGATGCCGAAATAAACCACTTTGTGATCTGAAAGAAAACCGAACAAAGTTACACGAAAAATCCACGTCACATCACTCTCACTTTATTTTAAAATATCAATATCAACATTCCACAAGAACGCACGGCGAAATAAAGGATGAAGATACACACATTGCCTAATTATGCAAGAGCCTGGACGTGATCGAAGATAACGACGCCTGTAAAAATAACTAGGTGATAACACGCCTTCAAATGCGGGGGGGGGGGGGGGTCTGTTCTAATTATTTAGAACACACGCTTGTAATCGCACCGAGAGACCCAAAGCAAGACCGTGCGCCTCGGAGGACGCACGCGGTCGACAATCGCATTGGCTTCTTATGACAAAAAAAATATTTAAAAACTCGAGTGGCCCTTGGGCAGGAAGCGTCATCACTGTGGTCGAGACTGAGGATGGAGCGGCTGCCCAAGCCGTGAACTCGGCTGAGAGGACTTCCACCGCCGTGGAAACGGAAATAAAATCGTGATGAACGTGAGAGGTGTATTCAGGTATGCGTGAATGTTGAACTTCGTTCGTACCGTACATATTCATCTGTGCTAATCAGAGGTGTGAGATTGTGACAGCTTTGGCGCCACGGTGGCAAGATGTTAACTACCTCGCCTGGTACACAGGAGGTCGTGCGTATGATGCCGGCCCTGGGGCCTGTATATTTGTAGTTTGTGTGTCTCGTTCTCCCCGTGGTCGCGTGGATTTTTCTCAGGGCCCTGCGGCTTTTACCCTCCACATTTATAATCAATATCACGCGTTTAGAGTATTTGGCTGCTATAAATTCCACATAAGCCACTTCGTTGAACTTTCATTTGTGGCCAGGTCTCTTCTCAGAAAGAGATACATAGTTCAGGGGACTTTACTTCGTAAAACACATTTTTTAAAGTTTTAGTAGCACAGAGCTCTTAAAGCAGCATGGGGGGACAGGAGTAAACAATTCATCAAGGCCATGTGGATCTCGGGTCATTTAGCGTCAGGTTTGGCAGGGTCAACCGACAGCGGAAAATCTGCACCCTCACTGCACCCCGAGCTAGTTAGTTAGCTCACTCGTGGAGGTCTCCCTCCGGTAATGGTTGTTGTTGTTGCTGACGGCATTGATGTTTTGGCTTCAAGGACACCTGTTTTGTAATTAAACTGAATGTTTCATTGGTTGCGTTTATTCAACATTCTTATCAAAATCTTTAGTTCGACTGCAGAAGGATTCCGATGAGCTATGAAGCTCTGTTTCACAGACGTCCAGTGTGGGCAGGTCAGCGAGTTAAAACAGATTGTCTCCGATAAGTTAACGTTCAGATCACTGTCACATGAGGAATCATATTCTTGGTTCTTTATTATGTGACTTTACCGAAAGAACCAAGAATATGATTCCTAAATAATAAAAATAAAACAATATAATGTTTTATTATTTATTATTTTATTATTTCCCTTCTCCGTTACTTTACCGAAAGAACCAAGAATATGAATCCCTGCAGTCACGAAAGCTTTAAATCGAAAAATGAGGAATCATGTACAAAAAAATGTTGACAGAACACAGAAGTGAAGAGAAAGTTTAATATTTTTCCACAGAATATTTCTGGTTTACAAATTCGATCCTGCAGTTATTTTCAGAAAAAATGCATAGATTTAACATATAAAACATTAAATAAAATTATACAACCCCCCTCTTCTAGTCTAGAGTTAAGTTAACACGTTATAATACATGGTCGTTTTAAAGCAATTCCGTTACCTTAATATCATACTCATAAACATGTGCATGCAATGCACACATTAAGCACCAATACAGTTTAAAATACATTTGCTTTAAAAAAAATAAAAAGTGTAAATTTAATATTTTCCATAAGAGCTAAGAGTACAAACACATAACCCCTAATGGGAGAGCAACGATGACTTCACTCCCACAGCAACCCCCCCTGCCCATGATCTGTAGAATGGCCACCAACTATTCGGGGAATTTAAATTTTGATTTAAAGCTTTCGTGACTGCAGTAATTCATATTCTTAGTTTTTTCGGTAAAGTCACGTTGAAGAGAAACAACAAAATAAATTAAACAAAATAAATTATTATTTTGTTGTTTCTCTTCAACGTGACTTTACCGAAAAAACTAAGAATATTCGGGGAATTGTCACGAATCTAGGGATTATCACAATCTATTTGGGGAATTGTCATGAATAAATCGAGCCATCGTCCCGATTGATTCGAGGAATTGTCATGAATGAATCAAGGGATCGTCAAAATTAAATTCAAGAATCAAATCCTTTCCGTCTGTTATTACGTTCTTTCGGTAAAGTCACGTAGATAGAAAAATTAGAAAAATATTTTTAAAAAACCACAACGTTTCAATCACAACACAAGCAGGCGTCATCAGGAAAAGAGGGGTTAGCCTCTAAAGGCAAACTGATTATAAAGGTTTAGAGATGGGCGCAGCCCAAGTGTGTCAGCAGCATGGGCGGGGCAGCTAATGTTAATGTAGGAGAAAGCAATTAACCGGCAGTGGGTGTCCACCAATCAAAGAGCCGCCAGGCAATCATTGCACCTCGCTCTACACTGCTGACGGTGGGGGTTGCCAAGAAAACACAAGTCAAGTCATGACCCAAAGTGGTTGATGACATCTTTCCAATGATTGCTGAGTTTGGCTTGTTCCGTCTTGCATGTTTCATTCCAAAAACATTAAAAATCAAGTAACATCTGCATGCACATTTTTTTTTTCTCAAATTACAAACAATATTGACGCATGTATCGGAAAGGTAAGAATTTCAACCAGCGAACCAATAATGTACTAAAAATCTAATTGTCAATAACACCCAGTAGTGCGTGCCTCACTGTGGTCCCCAGGTATTTGCATGAGTCGAGTGACATCTTTATACTCCCAAGCGGCTCGTTTCTCTGTCACGGACACACCTGGTATTGCGTCTTGTAATTTATGCGTGCATTTATACCAAAGTATCACAATAAGTAACCATCCATGGTTGGACATAACGTGTCACATTAGCCTATTTAAAGCCCTTTCCTGGTTTATTAATGTGGATAGGTTGATTCTTCCAGCCATAGGCAAGAGAGAGGGGGAGTCAGCCTAAACTGTATTCTCTGCATTGTAAATTAAGTGAATCCGTGAAGTTTAAAAGACGGCATACATTTATTTCCTGTGCGTGAGATACATTTATTTAAAGGATGAATTAATTAGTTTTTTATCTGCTGCTTAATTTCCTCCAAAATCCCTATTGAATAAAACTCCGCCAATTTTGTGATCGAGAGGTGAACTCAGAACCCCCAAATGGAGTCTCTCCATGGTCGCCGGCGGCCGCCCCGAGGGCCAGGCCCCCACACTCCGCGTCACACCACACGCACGCTCGTGCGCCGCCACTCCTCCCCGACGGCATTCCTTGCCGAGCATCGGTAGAAGCCGGCGTCGCGCACCGCGGCCGCCGCCACGACCAGCATGCCGCGCGCGAGCACGTAGCGGCCGCTCCGCGCTGAGTGCGCCGCCGGGGTCCCCGTCGACAGCCGCGCCCCGTCTGGCAGCTCCCACCGTACCTCGGGCACGGGGGCACCGCTCGCCATGCACGGCAGGCGCAGCGGAGCGCCGCGGAGCACCACCACGGCGGGGGGCGGCCCGTCCACGATGCGTGGGGCCTGCGCCACCACCACCACCCGCACCGTCCGGCTCTCCCCGTCGGCGGCGGTGCCGGCGGCCCCACGAGCGGTGCACACGTACGCGCCGCTGTCGCGCGTCGAGCCGTCGCGCACCGACAGCGTGCCGTTCGCGAACAGCGTGTAGCGGCCGCTCGTGCGGGGGACCTCAACGGTGACGCCGCTCGGCAGCCGCCATGATGCGCGTCCGGCGGCCACAACGCAGTGCAGCCACAGCGTGTCGCCGACGAGCGCCGCGACGGTGCTGCCTGATATCCACGTGATCCGCGGCTGCGGCCCGACCTCCAGCAGCACCACCCTGTCGGTCACGCCGCTCGGGCTGCGTGCCGAGCAGCGGTAGACGCCGGTGTCTGCCAGCGTCGCGCCACGCACCAGCAGGGCGCCGTCGAGGCCCGCCGAAAAGCGCGCGCCGCGGTTGCTGCCGCGGGCCAGCTGGGCACCACCGGGCAGCGTCCACGTCGTCTGCGGGGGCGGCTCCCCACGCGCCGGGCAGGCCAGCGCCACGGAGGCCCCTGGGGCGACCTCGACACGCTCGGTGGTGGGTGCGAGGAAGGAGGGTGGGGCGGGGGCGCCCATCACGGTTAGGTCGACCGAGAGGCGGGCGTCCCTGCTGCCGTCGGCCCCGCGCGCCACGCACGCGTAGCGCCCGGCGTCGGAGCGCGCCGCCGAGCGGATCTCCAGAGAGCCGTTGGCGTGGGTAAGCAGGCGGCCGGAGGAGTGTGGCACCGGCAGGAAGGCGCCGGAGGGCGTAATCCACACGACGTGGGGTTGGGGGTCTCCGTCCGCGGCACAGGGCAGCAGCTTGCGCGCACCCTGCGGCACCGAGTCTGCGGGAGGAACATCGAGGATACGGAGGGTTGGCATTCGTAGGGCGCTTCCGAACATTCGCGACTCAAACGCCCTAACGTCACATCCAATCTCAACCATTCCAATGTCCTGCCAAGGGGATCCCAGCGGCAACTGTTCTAGTGTTTTATGAGGTGTACGTAGCACAGGCCTGTAAGGGGGATGGAATGACGGTGATACCTTCTATTTGTTTAGGAAAGCCTCTCATTGCGTTGTTATATATTAATGCGCATTTGTGGGAGGAAATTAGGGTACTGATTGTATGTATGTATATTGAACTTCTTTCGCATCGTACGTAGCCATCCATGCTAATCGGAGGTGTGGGGGAAGGTCAACAAATTTAACACAAAAAGCACTCATAAAGAAATTAGTTTTCAATTTCAATTATTAAAAAATGCATAGATCCAGTGGCTTCATAACATCGGAAGGAAAGGTGTTCAGCCGCAGGAGCGCATCTGAAAGTGCGCAATGCATCTGAAAGCGTGCGATTGGTGCATGAGAATAGCACCGAAAGCTCCACACGGATGGATTAAATTATCGCGCACCTCCGATGAGCACGGTTGCCTATGTACAGTGCGAAAGAAGTTCAACACGCGTAAATACATATCCATCGCTGTACCCACCTAGTGACCGCCTTGCAGCCCAAGCCAATACCTTCAAGCACTGAGCAGGCTCAACGCTGCTTTACCTTCTGAGATCTCGACGAGACTGGACGTTGTTTAGACTAATCCGGTCATTGGCTAAATCACACCGACTGGTTACAGGATAACCTGTACTTGTGTCACCACACTGAGCCCCGTTGTCCTGTTACTTATCGAGCGCAGGGATTCTCAAGCGAACGGATCACAACCCACCCCCCGGGTCCCACTGCGATCAGAGATGGGTTAAAGGGGTCAGCTTCAAGTGTTGAGGCCTTAGAGGCCATATGGTTTTAGGGCACCGCTGTTTTCCGTGGATCGTGTTGCCTCGTCCAGTCGTTTTGTGCAAACGCAACGTCGGTCGTCACGCACTGCCGAGAGCTCGCCACGCTGGAGACGCCTGCGTCATGCCAGCAGCACTGGCTCACTGTCACCGACGTGTCCATGACGAGCCTTCTGAGAGACAGAGAGACACCCACCAACTTCAAGGCTCAAAGGGTCTCTGCAGTGCTGGCTCAGTGCCCTGACATGGCCACTATGAACCCAGCTACAGAGCTTGACAGCAGAATGTGAGCAATGCAGGTTCATTATGTCTGACAGCGCCTTTGTGAGCTCTTCACAAAGAGCTCAGATTATGGCTTGGTGCCATGAATTGGCCATTATGAGCCTGCTGAGAGGGGAAAAAAGAGAGATAGTGCCTGCAGAAGGGCTTCAAGCCAAGATCTCAGTGGTGCTCGCATAGTACCTCGGCACAGCCAGGGAACTCTACGGCTCGTGTGCAGGAGCCACGTGAATCATTTCAATGTGGACCCATGAGGAATGGCAAACTGTTGAGGTATGCCATCATCCAGTGGATAGATCACTGTTGCTGTTGAACAAAGATGGTCACTGCATCGCGCGCTTTCATATGCGCTTCTGCGGCCGTTTGGAACCCTCTTCCTTCCGATATTAGAAAGCCACTGGAGCTATGCACTTTTAACTCTAGATTGAAGCTCATTTTTTGAGAACTGCTTTATGTGTTTAGTTTACTGACCTTCCCCCGCACCTCTGATTAGCATGGTTCGCTACGTACGGTGTGAAAGAAGTTAAAAATACATACATACACACACATACATACAAAGGGGACCGGGCGACGAGGGGACCGGGCGATGAGGGGACCGGGCGACGAGTCTCACCCTTGATCTCGGGGCTGGTGCCGGTGCGTCCGTTGATGGAGGGTGGCGCTGGCAGCACATCGAGCCGCACGGCACGCGAGTCCTCGCCAGCCGCGTTCTGCGCCACGCACACGTAGCGCCCAGCGTCGGCGATCCGCGCCCCGTGCACCTCCAATGCCGAGTCTTTCCCACGCACCGACAGCGCCGCCCGGCGCGGAGCCTCTTGGCCCGGAGTGCGTGGCGAGCGAGGCCTTCGCGGTGAGGAAGGCAGCGACAATGGCGGTGGGAGCTGGGAGCCGTCGGGAAGTCGCCACGTGATGAGCGGGGCCGGGTCGCCCGAAGCGCGACACTCGAGGGCGATAGAGTCTCCCGACGTGATGCGCACGACCGCTCGCTCTGGCTTGTCCTGGATCTGTGGGGCCTGGTTGATACCAACGACGGTGGCAGTGGTGATGATGATGATGGAGGCGATGGTGTTGATGGCCGCGATGATGTTTGATGATGTTGTTAATGATGAGATGATGATGGTGATGGTTGTCATAATGATGGAAAGATTTAACACGTCATATACAACTCTGACCATGTTTAATGTGCTTACCAGACAAGGCAGTGACAAATAACTAATTGAGCTATATTTTTCTATGATTATGCTGTTTTTATAGCAGCCTCATGAGTCTTTTCAGGAGGGTTTTGCTAACCTTTCCTGGCAGGGGGTGATGATTACTTACTGCTGTGGATATATGATCAGAATTGAGTACATTTGGACCACGATGCCAGCCCACAATGGCCAACTCTTCAGAATTTACGCCACGGGATCTTGATTGTGCGCTGTGAACCAGACGGTGCTTAGAATTGTTACGGTTCATACTGCAATATTAACCGGGGCGGCCGCTTGAACAGAACCACGAGTCCGTGCAACAAGCGGTGAACACGCGACCGCGAAGGCCACGTCATTTCCCCAGATTAATTCCTTAGCGAGTGAAGGCAGTGGAGATGATAGTAATGGAGACGATGGATGAGTAAAGCTATCACTTGGCAACTGTGGGCTGCAACATGTGCATTTGCACCGCCGGTAATCCCACGGCGCCAGTTAAGGAGAGCTTCACCATAATGTTGCCAGTGTGCCGCCACCACCAGCGCTCTGCTGCCTCCCACCTGTCCCTCGACGGCGACGTGCACCACCATGGCGTCCCAGCCCACGGCATTCTCCGCGTAGCACGTGTAGTCCCCTTTGTCTGCCAGGCCGACGCTGCTCAGCGCCAGTGTGCCATTGCCGAACACCGCGTACCGCCGAGCGCCGCCTGCAGCCAACATCGCCGCGGCACCACCGTCGCCGCTGGCTTGGGCTCTGAAATCGGCCGGCACCACCGCGCCGTCGGGGAGGCTCCATGAGACGCGGGGTTGCGGCGAGCCGGAGGTCACGCAGTCGAAGCGGAGGTTGGCGCCGTGACGCACGCTCTGTTTGACGCTGCCGCTGCTGCCACCGGAGGATCGGGTGTCCCCGGAGTGGCGCTCGATGCGAGCCGGGCGCATCGTGATGGAGACAGTGGCTGTAGCGCTGTCCTCCCCGTGCCGGTTGCGCACCGTGCACATGTAGCGCCCCGCGTCAGACGCCACCACGCCATCCAGCGCCAGGCTGCCGTCGGGCAGCACACGCATGCGGCGATCCGCACTGGGGGGGGGGGAGGCGGGGAGCAAGGGGAAGGGGTGGGAGGGAGCGGAGTGGTGGGGTGAGTGGCGGGGTGAGTTGTGGGATCCTTTAAACGTTGATTTTCGTCTCCAGGGATTTGGGTCAACGCAATTAATTCGGCCGGTTTTTTGTAGGGTTGAGACCCGTAGTGGCAACGGAACTGTACCCTCACATAACTCGCATCGAATTATCATTCAGAGAGCGAGCATGCCCCACCATGGCAGACAGACAGAGCTCGTGGATGAACGATTTCGAGCATTGTTGGAAACCGCGGGCGCGAGAGAAGAGCCACTCACGCGAACCATGCGCTGGCCGTCCCGCCTGACGGCAGCCGCCACACCACGACCGGCCGCGGCTCTCCCTCGGCCACGCAGCGCAGGCGGAGGGCGCCCCCGTAAGGCACGGCCACGTCCCCCGGCGGCGGCGCCGCCACGCGGGGCGGCCCCAGCACCGTGACGATGACGGCAGCACTGTCGACGCCGGCCACGTTGGCGGCCGTGCACTTGTACGTGCCGGCGTCGCGCCACATTGCCGCCGGCACCAGCAGCGTGCCATTGGCGAAAACCCGCGCCCCCGACCCCGCGCCACTCCGCTGATTGGGAAGCAGCTGCCCGCCGTCCCCCGGCAGCGCCCAGCTCACGGCTGGCTCCGGCCACCCGGAGGCGGTGCACGGCAGCGAGAGCGGCCGCCCGGCCGCCACTGACACGGTGGTGGCACCACGCACCACCATCGGCCTGGCAGGGAGCACGTGCAGGTGGACGGTGACAGCGTCGGTGCCGGCCGCACTGCTGGCGACGCAGGAGTAGTCGCCGCGGTCGGACGGGTGCACGTCACGCACAATCAGCGTCGCCCGCTCCGACACGGACACGCGCCCCCCATCGCCGCCGCCGTCTTGCGCCGCCACTGCTGCCGCTGCCACCGCCACGGACGAACGATCGGGCAGCATCCACGAGATGGCGGGTGGTGGGCTCCCCTGCGCGGCGCACTCGGCCTCAGCGGTGCCGCCCGGGGACACGCGGAGCTCGCGCCAGCGGGGGGACAGCACCCGGGGCGGGTGTGACTCCACGCGCAGCGCAACGGTCGCCCTGTCGGTACCGCTGCCACCCGTCGGCGTCTCGCAGGTGTAGCGGTCGGCGTCGCCGGGAGAGGCGGAGCGGACGGCGAGCGTGCCGTCATGAAGGACGACCACGCGGCGGCCGGAGGGGGCAGAGGAGGATGCGACGATGGATCCTGGACGCGTGCACATCATTATTATCGCCCAATGTCATCATCAGCTTACTCAGCAGCAACAGCGGCAGGAGTAGAATAATAATCATCGTCGTCGTCGTCTCATTGTCATTATTTTCAACGTCAAGAGTAATAATTTTCTTTAATGTCATCATTATCGTCATTGGCAACAGCTTCATTATTGTCAATGTCATTACTGTCATCGTCAACATTTTAAACATCGTCATCATCATCAACGTTATGAAAACCAGAGTGAATGTCTCTAGATATCGACCCGTGAGCTTACCTGCACCTCCGATTAGCGCAGTAAGATACGTACGGTGCGAAATAAGTTCTACAAACATAAGCAGTGTTATTATTGTGAACGACCTGGATGTAAAGAAACGCGAAAAAAATAACTAAAAACGATTTACTGTTATGCTCGATTGCACGTGCATGCGTTTTGAGCGCGAGCTTCGATTTCAATCGATAAATCGACGCGTCGCAATGCGCCCATTGGCGGTGAAGTGAAAGGTGTGTAGTCGGGCACAGAGCGGGGATGGGGGTGGACACAAACGCGGGAGGGCTGGGGGGGGGGGGCGACGATGACAACGCACCTGTGCTCGCCCTGATCCAGCGCACGTCCATGGAGCCACCGCCCCCCACGGTGCCGCACGGGAGGAACGCGTCCGCTCCCGCCGCCGTGGTGACACTCGGCGCCTCCTCAGCCACCCCTCGCCTGTCCAACACAACATCGTTGGAGGCTCCCGCGTCCGAACCGTCGGTTCTCCGCGCGTGCCCCACGTCGGAACCGCCGCCGCCCGAACCCGTCGCCCCAAAGCGCCGGGCAAAGCCGGGGCGGAGCGGCGTGAGTCGCGCCAACGGTGGCGGTGTCGGCAGCTGCTGCGTGGGCCTCATGCCTCCTCTCGGGCCCAGATTTGGTAATTGTGAGCGCGGCGAAGCTTGTCTGGGGCGTTCTATGGCTTTCGCTTCCGAGGTCAGGGCACCGCTGACGTGATTTCCAGAGCCACGTCTGCTTGGGTGCCAATTTTTTGACCTCTGAACTCCAGCGCCGCCCTGGGAATTTTCAAAGCGTTCGGTCGCTGTCAGAGTGGTGCCGAGGGAGTTAACGGCGACCCTCGGGGCGCTGTGCGGCCTTGGCGGAAGTGGATTCCAAAATGTCCTGGTCCTGTCATCCTCCAGCTCGGTCGAAATCACCTTGCGGAAAGGTGGCGTGGGTTTTGCAACCAGCGCCGTGATTTCAGGTCTGTTTGTCACCGCTCCGTTAAACCGTTTCGGGTAAAAATTCCAGAGTTTTGGCAAAAGCGGGTGATATCGCGCGGGAGAGTAACCGTGCACGTAGTGGTTGCTGTGGCGATGGTGATGTTCTTGCCAAGATTGCTGTGGGTGGAACTGCCGAGATTGCGGCTTATGAGTTATGGGGTTGTGCGTCCTGCGAGGCGAGTGATTAATTCCCTGCACACCGCCGGGGTGAAGCGGCCTCTCTTCCCGTGCGATTCCCAAATGGAGTCGATTGCCTGCCGACCCGTGCATCCGTGCCACATGCCCTGTGCTTGCTCCACCCACCTGTTGCGACTGCTCATCCCTCCCTCCCTGCACGGGGAATGCGTGCGATGGTCTTGGCATAATGACGGCCTGAGTCTCTACCCTGTGCCTGCCCGATCTGCCTATGTTGTCCGCTCGGCCCAACGTGGCACCACTGTCCATTTTTCCAGTGGGCTGCGTGGGCTGTGCGGCCTCCACATTGCGCCCGGCCGCTCCGCCCGGCGTCTCCCCCAAGCGGTGCGTCATGCGCGGGCCATACCTTCGCTCCACCTCCTCGCTATGGCCAAGCGTCCTGTCGTAAGCGCTCCCCCGCGCTCCAGTTCTCATTCCACCTCCTTCACTCCCTGCGCCGCCGCCCTTGCTCGTCTCGACCGAGTTGCCCCGGGAGCTTGGCTGCCCGCTGTCGCCGGGGCGATGCTTCCCGAGCAATGACACTCGACCATCGACAGAGGTGGCCTCGGCGAGCGCGCTTTTGTCCCCGGGGAGAGCCGCATGTGATTTGGTCGGAGCCTCTGGTTCGTCCGTGCGAGGGGAATTGAACGTGTCCCTCACTACGCTGCCACCATCAAGTTCATCCACGCCAGGCTCGTAGGGCGTGGCTGCATTTTCCCGTGAGGCTGTGCGAGCAGTTGGATCTTGCATGTGATGTCTGTCCATGTGCATCTCTTCTTGGTGGAAGGAATTTGTTGCTTCTTCTTCCTCCTCTTCTCCCTCCTCTTCTCCCTCCTCTTTTTCCTCCTCTTTTTTATCATCTTCTCCCTCCTCTTTTTCCTTCTCTTTTTCCTCCTCTTTTTTCTCCTCTTCTTCCTCCTCTTCTTCCTCCTCTTTAAAGTCTTGATGCTCACCCCCAATATGTGCAACGGTGGCCGTATCACTTTTTTCTGTCGGACGGATGTCGTGCCATTTGGCCCGCTGGCCGTCCGTACCGTCTGAGAATGAATTCAGATCGTAGTTGGGCTCCATCGCACTGTCTTCTCCCAGTGGCTTGGGTGTGAAGATCCGGTTGATGGGTGGTGAAAGGCCAGCACGGGGTACATAAACTATTCCCGGTCTAGTGGTAGGAAGATATGGAGTCTGTGGCGTGGGGTTGGAGTTAAACTTAGTGACGGCCACGTCCACATCGTCCGCCGACGACTCCTCGTTCTCAGCCTCGGCCCTACCATCGCTCCCACGTGTCAATTCATCATTGGCCCGCGACCTCCCACCTCCCTCCTCCACTGAGTTCATATCCTTGTTACCCTCCTCTGTCTTATCCTCCTCTTGCTCCTCTTCCTTCTCCTCCTCCCCCTCCTCCTCCTCCTCCTCCTCTATCCTGGCGGGAGAGGTTGTGTGTGGTGGCTTTGTGTGGGGCAGCAGCGACAGTGTGGGTCTCACTCGGGGACTTATTTTGTTGCGGACATTCTCCAGCACCTTCGCCCACCAGCCAGGGTCAAATCTCGACAGTGTTGAGTGAGTTCGATTGCGGGAACCGAGAGTTTTCGTCTCCGTCTTCAGCGATCTCTCGCCTTCATCGTCATCATCATCATCATTGAGGTTGTTGTCAAGGTCTTTGTTCTCCATCGTGGCGCTCGTCGGTCCTTCGCGCCGTCCCTGCATCGCAACGCTTGGCCCCGGCGCGGTGTGCCGGGCCCTCACCGTCACTCCATGCCCCTCTGTGACCTCCTGTAGAATGTAACGCCCGGCGGCGAGGTCATCCGGCGCTCTTGTGGGCGGCGCGACCGAGGTCACCATCTCCACACTCTCCACGATCTCATTCGTCACGCGCCCACCCTCGCCGCTTGCCGCGGTGACCTTCACTTTGTGGACCAGTCGCTCCGTGCCCAACTTGTTGATAGCGACGCACTGGTAAAACCCGCCTTCGGTGACCTCTGGTACCACCAGCGTGCCGTTGTCGGCCACGTACGTCCCGTCCGACGGCGACGGCGATGGTCGCACAACGTGTTTATTGGGCAGCACCCACGCGACCTCCGGATCCGGACTCCCCATGGCGGCGCACGGGAGCACCAGCATTTGTCCCCTCGCTGCTGTGAGGGCG